TTTTAGTAGAAACGGGGTTTCACCGTGTTAGCCAGGCTAGTCTCAATCTCCTGACCTCGTGATCCGCCCGTCTCGGCCTCCCAAAGTGCTGGGATTACAGGCTTGAGCCACCGCGCCCGGCCTTCATTTTTTTTAAGAGGGAGTCTCACTCTGTCGCCCAGGCTGGAATACTGAAATGTAGTGGCTCGATCTCGACTCACTGCAACCTCTGCCTCTCAGGTTCAAGCGATTCTGCTGCCTCAGCTTCCCAAGTAGCTGGGACTATAGGCACCCACCATGCCCGGCTATTTTTTTTTTTTTCATATATTTAGTAGAGATGGGTTTTCACCATGTTGGCCAGGCTAGTCTCAAACTCCTGACCTCGTGATCCGCCCACCTTGGCCTCTCAAAGCGCTGGGATTATGGGCGTGAGCCACCATGCCCGATCATGTGTGCCTTTTTCATAGAGATGGGGTTTCACTGCTGCCCAGGCTGCCCTTAAACTCTTGAGCTCAATAGATCCTCCCAGCTTGGCCTCTCAAAGTGCTGGGATTACAGGTGTGAGCCACCACTGTACCCAGCCCCATTTTTTTTTTTTTTTTTTTTTTTTGAGACAGGGTCTTGCTCTGTCACCCAGTCAGGAGTGCAGTAATGCAATCATGGCTCACTGCAGCCTTCACCTCCCAGACTCAGGCGATCCTCCCACCTCAGCCTCCCGAGTAGCATGACTACAGGCACGTATCACTATGCCCGGCTAATTTTTAATTTGTACAGACAGGGCCTTGCCGTGTTGTCCAGGCTGGTCTCAAACTCCTGGGGGCTCAAGTGATCCTCTCGCCTCAGCCTCCAATAGTGCTGGCATTACAGGCATGAGCCACGATGGCTGGCCAACTGTAATTATGTAAAAGCTTGGATGTTTTTTTAGACGACACCGTCGTCACTGTGAGAAAACAACCCTCCCATTAGGCCAGTTTCTGCACCACTACAACTACCAAAGTCTACTGCCGCTAAGAGATAAGCCTTAGCTTTGCTATTTATTTATTCATTTACTTAGAGATAGGGTTTTGCTCTGCACCCAGGCTGTTTACTTTTCTTTTTTTTTCAGACAGAGTTTCGCTCTTGTTGCCAAGGCTGGAGTGCAATGGCGCGATCTCGGCTCACCACAACTTCTGCCTCCCGAGTTCAAGCAATTCTCCTGCCTCAGCCTCCCGAGTAGCTGGGATTACAGGCATGCGCCACCATACCCGGCTAATTTTTTTTTTTTTTTTTTGAGACGGAGTCTCGCTCTGTCGCCCAGGCTGGAGTGCAGTGGCGCCATCTCAGCTCACTACAAGTTCCGCCTCCCCGGTTCACGCCATTCTCCTGCCTCAGCTTCCCAAATAGCTGGGACTACAGGCGCCCACCACCACACCCGGCTAATTTTTTAATATTTTATTAGAGATGGGGTTTCACCATGTTAGCCAGGATGGTCTCGATCACCTGACCTTGTGATCCGCCCGCCTTGGCCTCCCAAAGTGCTGGGATTACAGGCGTGAGTCACCGCACCCGGTCTAATTTTGTATTTTTAGTAGAGATGGGGGTTTCTCCATGCTGGTCAGGTTGGGCTTGAACTCCTGACCTCAGGTGATCCGTCCGCCTCGGCCTCCCAAAGTGCTGGAATTACAGGCGTGAGACACCACGCCCTGCCTTATTTATTTATTTAGAGACAGGGTCTCACTGTGTCACACAGGCTGGAGTACAGTGGCGCAATCATAGCAAACTGCAGCCTCGATCTTCTGGCCTCGAGCCATCCTTGTGTCTCAGCCCCCAAAAGTGCCGAGATTACAGATAGGAGACTGCAAGTATGACAGCCTTAGTTTATCTTTTCTTTTCTTTTTTTTCCGAGACAGAGTTTCACTCTTATTGCCAAAGCTGGAGTGCAATGGTGCTATCTTGGCTCACTGTAAATTTGACCTTCCGGGTTCCAGCGATTCTCCTGCCTCAACCTCCCAAGAAGCTAGGATTACAGGCGTGTACCACCACACACACCTAGTTTTTATATTTTTAATAGAGATGGGGTTTCACTACGTTGGCCAGGCTGGTCTCGAACTCCTGACCTCAGGTGATCTGCCTGCCTCGGCCTCCCAAAATGCTGGGACTACAGGTGTGAGCCACCACGCCTGGCCAGCTTTTCTAAGCCACAGAGATCTGGTGAATGTTTACAACTGCAGCAGAATGTGGGCCACCACAAGGCTACAAAAGCACAGAGGAGAAACAGGAGAAACAGCCGCATAGCAGCCGTTGCACACGTCCATGGTCATGCACTCATGGGAGATGGATGGTGTGAGTTTAGGGTGGTGAATTTCTTTTTTTATTTTATCATTATTTTTTTCTTTTTTGAAATGGAGTTTTACGGCCGGGCGCGGTGGCTCAAGCCTGTAGTCCCAGCACTTTGGGAGGCCGAGATGGGCGGATCACGAGGTCAGGAGATCGAGACCATCCTGGCTAACACGGTGAAACCCCGTCTCTACTAAGAAATACAAAAACTAGCTGGGCGAGGTGGCAGTGCCTGTAGTCCCAGCTACTCGGGAGGCTGAGGCCGGAGAATGGCGTGAACCCGGGAGGCGGAGCTTGCAGTGAGCTGAGATCCGGCCACTGCACTCCAGCCTGGGTGACAGCGCAAGACTCCGTCTCAAAAAAAAAGAATGAATGAAATGGAGTTTTACTCTTGTTGCCTAGGCTGGAGTGCAATGGTGCAATCTCAGCTCACTGCAACCTCCACCTCCTGGGTTCAAGCAATTCTCCTGCCTCAGCATCCCAAGTAGCTGGGACTACAGGCACCTGCCACTACGCCTGGCTAATGTTGCATGTTGCATGTTTGGTAGAGACGGGGTTTCACCATGTTGGCCAGTCTGGTCTTGAACTCCTGACCTCAGGTGATCCACCCACCTTGGCCTCCCAAAGTGCTGGGATTACAAGTGTGAGCCACTGTGCCTGGCCACGTTCTTGTGGTTTTTGTTGGTGATTTTGCTATTGAAATTCCCCCAGACACTGAAATGCTGTCCAGGGTTCCTAAGTACCAAAAGACTGTGATGGCTGGGCTCAGTGGCTCACGCCTGTAATCCCAGCACATTGGGAGCCGAGGCAGGAGGACTGCCCAAGGCCAGGAGTTCAAGACCAGCTTGGGCAATATAGTGAGACCCCCTAGCAGTACAAAAACTTTTTTTAAATTAGTCCAGTGTAGCCTGTAGTCCCTACTCAGGAGGCTGAGATTGGAGGATCACCTGAGCATGGGAGGTTAAGGCTGCAGTGAGCTATGATCACACCAAAAATAAAATACTTAAAAAAAAAAAATCTGTGATGCACCTCATGGAGAAAATCCCTTATAGGGAAGCTTCATGCAGACATGAGTTTCAGTGCCGCTGGCTGTGAGTTCAATGTGAATGAATCCACCATAGATATTAAATAAGATGTCTTTAAACAAACATACATAAAACAAGGTTGTATGAATCGGTGGATGAAAATGGTGTGGCCTGGGCCGGGTGCAGTGGCTCACACCTGTAATCCCAGCACCTTGGGAGGCCAAGGCGGGGGATCACTTGAGGTCAGGAGTTTGAGACCAGCCTGGCCAACAAGGTGAAACGCCATCTCTACTAAAAATACAAAAAATAAATTAGCTGGATATGGTGGCCTGAGCCTGTAGTTCCAGCTACTGGGCAGCAAAGGGGCGGGAAGGGGGGGAGCGGGGGCGGGGAGGGGGGGAGCGGGGGCGGGGGCTGAGGCCGGAGAATCGCTTGAATCTGAGAGGCAGAGGTTGCAGTCAGCCGAGATCGTGCCACTGCACCCAGTCTGGGCGACAGCGCGAGATGCTGTCTCAAAAAAAAAAAAAAAATTTAAAAAGGGCTGGGCGCCGTGGCTCAAGCCTGTAATCCCAGCACTTCAGGAGGCCGAGGCCGGTGGATCATGACGTCAGGAGACTGAGACCATCCTGGCTAGCATGGTGAAACCCTGTCTCTACTAAAAATACAAAAAATTAGCCGGGCGTGGTGGCGGGCGCCTGTAGTCCCAGCTGCTCGGGAGGCTGAGGCAGGAGAATGGCGTGAACCTGGGAGGCGGAGCTTGCAGTGAGCCGAGATCGCGCCACCGCACTCCAGCCTGGGCGACAGAGCGAGACTCCCTCAAGGAAAGGAAAGGAAAGGAAAGGGCAGGGCAGGACAGGGGAAGGGAGGGGAAGGGAGGGGGGAGGGGAGGGAAGGGGGGAGGGGAGGGGGAGGGAGGGGGGAGGGGAGGGAAGGGGGGAGGGGAGGGAAGGGGGGAGGGGAGAAAGGAAAGGAAACAGCAATTGCTGGGTTTGAGTCCCAGTTGTGGCCTTAGCATCCCTGTCGCAGTTTCTCTATCTGGAAAACGGCAACAAAACCTGGGCTTCCCAGTGCGTTATAGGGAGACTAAATGAGGTAATAATGGTGTATCACGTGTTGGGGATGTGGTCACTGCAATAGAAACAGTATTTGTTTTATTGTTATGCCCAATGATGGAGGGCCGAGACGAGTTCTTCTCTACGATCTAGCATCCAGACTCACTCACTCCCTGAGCCTCAGTTTCCCACTCTGTAGAATGGGAGACCCAAGCCGGGCGCGATGGCTCACGCCTGTAATCCCAACACTTTGGGAGGTCGAGGTGGGCAGATCACCTGAGGTCAGGAGTTCAAGACCAGCCTGGCCAACACAGTGAAACCCTGTCTATAGAAAATACAAAAAAATTAGCCGGGCGTGGTGGTAGACGCCTGTAATCCCAACCACTCGGGAGGCTGAGCGAGGAGAATCGTTTGAACCCCAGAGGTGGAGGTTGCAGTGAGCCAAGATCCTGCCACTGTACCCCAGCCTGGGGCACAGAGGGAGACCCCGTCTCAGAAACAAACAAACAAAAACCGGAGACCAGCAGCACCGCCTCCCCGCCATTTCACCCACTTGCCCAGTGCAAGAGTGGCCGAGTCTCAGCTCCACGTGCCTAGTGTGGAGAGGCGGCAGGATCGGGACTCCAGAGGGCGTGAACCAGGTAGTGTTTATTGCCAGGAGGACACCCGCGCTGCCTCCGGACCCCAGAGGGTTTTGACACGAATGACTTAAAGGCACTGGCTTCTGTCCAGCTCCAGCCCTGCCCCGCAGGGCCTGGGGGTGGAGACCCCATCACCACGCAGCCTCGACCCGCCCCTTCCTCCAGAGCTGCAGCTCCGCCCAGTGGCTGAAGATAGCAAAGCCTTGCAGGGCGGAGGTTCCCAGGATGCAGTGAGGCGGGGTGGCCCCAGGCTGGCCGGGGGTGGGGGTGGCGTAAGGGGGCTCTTCCCGCGGACGGGTGAGGGACTACGAGACGCTGGGGGGCAGGCGGGCAGCCGCAGTCTTCTCCACCACGAAGCCGTAGTTATACTGGGGGAAGGGGAGAGTGAGAGTGAGCAGGTGCCACAGTAAAGAGAGGACCAAAGCGGGGGTGACTGAGGAATGGCAGAGGGGGTACTTAGGGACTTGAGTGGTCTTCAGTCCTGGAGAGATGGGGTGCGTCTGGGGGCACGTGGGGATGGGGAAGACTGGAACAGCCTAGGGCGGAGGGGGGTTGGGGTCCCAGCCCCTCAGGCACCTCCTCCCTAGCCCTGCACCCACCTCCTCCTCAATGTCCGCCAGAGACTTGATGGTCAGGTCCCCAAAAGCAGAGAAGGCCTGGCGAGCAGAGGTGGATCAGCCTTGGGCCCGATCCCAACCTGAAACCCCCTTTCCCTCCTCTTCAAGGAGTCCTGCTCTCCCCCCCACCCCCACACTCCCCAAATATTCCCTCGTCATCCCTCCCCCTTCTTTTTTTTTGTTTTGTTTTGTTTTTAGAGACAACGTCTCTAAAGCCACGCCTGGCTAATTTTTGTATTTTTAATAGAGACGGGGTTTCACCATGTTGGCCAGGCTAGTCTCCCATCTCCTGACCTCAAATGATCCACCTGCCTTGTCTCCCAAAGTGCTGGGATCACAGGCGTGAGCCACCGCGCCCGGCATCCCTCCCCCTTCTTGTCACAGCCTCTAGCTACTGGTGTCCAGCTGCTTTCTCTGGATGGACCCCTCCCCATTCTGAGACTGAAGACCTCCCAGCTGCCACCTGGAGGTGACACACTCCAGCCCCAACCCTGGACGTGGCCCTCTGTGCTGGGGCGCTGGATACAGGGATGTCCTGGCACCCAGAATGGTGATGGCAGGCGGAGACCCAGGCTCCCCGAGACCCCAACTCACCAGGGGGCTGCAGCTCTTGCCCTCAAATCGTGGGTGGAGTGTGAAGGGAACCCCATCCATGGCTGAAAAACATATGGGAGGGGAGGAGGTGAGGTGCAGGGAACTGTCCACCCCACCTGCAGAGGCCAACCCCACACAGCCTGGCTCTTTCAGTCTTTACAGAATCTAGAGTTGGAAGAGGGAGGTAGGAAGATCCTTCCTGGTCGTGTAATCTCAAGACAATCACACCCTCCACCTCCATACCTCAGTTTCCCCACTCTGTGCTCACCTGAGATGCCATAGAGGCTAGAGGCCTCGTAGATGGAGTCATTCCTCCGCAGAGTGGATGCCCGAGAGCCCAGCCTTGACGGTGTCCGCTCCAGGAGGCCGCCCTTACTGGAGGTGGGATGACCCAGGTTAAGCTTCATCCTACCCCCACGGCCACCCCCACTCCGATGCCTGAGGGCTCACCTCGGCTGGCTGGCTGCATCCAGAGACAGGCCCTGCATGTCCCGGCTGAGACCTCGGGGCTTGGGCACTGGCCTCGGGGCCTTGGCCTTCTTGCACCAGATGGCAAAGCCGCCCATGTCCCTGGACCGGGAGGGAAGGTAGGAGGGATGCTGGCCCCATGTGGGGCCAGGGTTGAGGATAGCCCCTGGGAAAGGCAGGGGACCTGGGCCTCCAGGTGACCTCTGTCTTTTGGGGGATTTTTTTTTTTTTTTTTTTTTTTGAGACGGAGTTTCACTCATGTGCCCCAGGCTGGAGTGCAATGGCGTGATCTCGGCTCACTGCAATCTCCACCTCCCAGGTTCAAGCAATTCTCCTGCCTCAGCCTCTGGAGTAGCTCGGATTACTGGCAACCATGCCCAGCTAATTTTTTTTTTTTTTTTAGTAGAAACAGAGTTTCACCGTGTTGGCCAGGCTCGTCTTGAACTCCTGACCTCAGGTGATCCACCTGCCTCGGCCTCCCAAAGTGCTGGGATTACAGGTGTGAGCCACCGCACCCAGCCTTTTAAGCGATTTTTGTTTTAGCATCTTGACCCGCACCCTAAGCACCACACCAAACTAATACTGCTGGGTTCAAATCATCATTCTGTCTATTTTATTTTATTTTATTTTATTTTTTATTTTATTTTATTTTTGAGACAGAGTCTCGCTTTGTTGCCCAGACTGGAGTGCAGTGGCACGATCTCAGCTCACTGCAACCTCCACCTCACAGGTTCAAGCGATTCTCCTGCCTCAGCCTCCTAAGTAGCTGGACTACAGGCGTGTGCCACCATGCCCGGCTAATTTTTTGTATTTTCAGTAGAGATGGAGTTTCAACATGTTAGCCAGGATGGTCTCGATCTCTTGATCTTGTGATCCGCCCATCTCTGCCTCCCAAAGTGCTGGGATTACAGGTGTGAGTCACCACGCTCAGTCCTGTTCTGTCTACTTGAGATACCAAGTCACTGACTCCTCATGAGTCCTACAAGATGGCATACATGTCTCGGTTTTAACATGAAGAATCCGAGGGTCAGAAGGTGGCAGAAGGAACAGGAGACCTCAAGGTTGTCCCTGAGGGTCAGATTCGCGAGATCATGAGTTGGGAGGGCAGGGAAGGTAGCTAGACACTGGGGGGTGGCCCTACCCTATTCGAAGGTATCCAGGCACTGTCTTGGTCTTTCCACTCAGCCGGACATCAAACACAGCTGTGTCTGCAGCTCCCAGGGGCAACAGCTTCACACACATGCGTTTCTTCTTGGACACAGAGGCCTCTGGGAGTGGGGGGCAGGGGAGTAAGAGAAGGAAGCCAGGAAGGGGTGGGAGGGCCCAAAGATGACTCCAGGATGAGGCTCACCAGGGTGCTGTTTAAGGCAGCCGCATGGACAGCATTGGGGATGGGGGGTGGGAGGAGTGGTTAAATCATGAATGGTATAGATGAAGGAGGGGATTCCAGGCAGCCTTTAGGAGCCACTGGAGTAGGCTGATCTTTGGTGATATGAAGGTGCATTCATGAGGTGGCTAGCTGTGGAATCAGACAGAGCTGGGTGCCCATCCTGGCCCTCAAAGCTTACTTTCTCTGAGTCCTCTAATCCTATAGAAGTTGACCAGCTAGCACCTGTGAGCCAAATCTGGCTCAAGGCCTGTTTTCTTTTTTTTTCTTTTTTTTTTTTTTTTTGAGACGGAGTCTCGCTCTGTCGCCCGGGCTGGAGTGCAGTGGCCGGATCTCAGCTCACTGCAAGTCCTGCCTCCCGGGTTCACACCATTCTCCTGCCTCAGCCTCCTGTGTAGCTGGGACTACAGGCGCCCGCCACCTCGCCCGGCTAGTTTTTTGTATTTTTTAGTAGAGACGGGGTTTCACCGTGTTAGCCAGGATGGTCTCGATCTCCTGACCTCGTGATCCGCCCGTCTTGGCCTCCCAAAGTGCTGGGATTACAGGCTTGAGCCACCGCGCCCGGCCTCAAGGCCTGTTTTCTTTCCTTTTTTTTTTTTTTTTTTTTTTTTGAGACGGAGTTTCGCTCTATCACTCAGCCTGGAGTGCAATGACACGATCTCAGCTCACTGCAATCTCCGCCTCCCGGGTTCAAACAATTCTCCTGCCTCAGCCTCCCAAGTAGCTGGGACTACAGGCGCCCGCCACTATGCCCAGCTAATTTTGTATTTTTAGTAGAGACAGGGTTTCACCATGTTGGCCAGGCTGGTCTGGAACTCCTGACCTCAGGTGATCTGCTGGCCTCAGCCTCCCAAAGTGCTGGGATTACAGGTGTTAGCCACCACACCCAGCCTAAGGCCTGGTTTCATACAGCTCATGAGTTAAGAATGATTTTTACATTTTTAAGGAATTGTAAAAAAAATGAATATGAACACACGTCATCTGGCCTGTAAAGCCTAAAATATTTACTATCAGGCCCTTTACATAAAAGTTTGCCGGCCGGGCGCGGTGGCTCACGCCTGTAATCCCTGCACTTTGGGAGGCCGAGGCGGGAGGATCACGAGGTCAGTAGATCGAGACCATCCTGGCTAACACGGTGAAACCCCGTCTCTACTAAAATACAAAAAATTAGCCGGGCGCGGTGGCGGGCGCCTGTAGTCCCAGCTACTCCGGAGGCTGAGGCAGGAGAATGGCGCGAACCCGGGAGGCGGAGCTTGCAGTGAGCCGAGATGGTGCCACTGCACTCCAGCCTGGGCGACAGAGTGAAGACTCCGCCTCAAAAAAAAAAAAAAAAAAAAAAGTTTGCCAACTCTCAGAAAAAAATAAAGAAAAAAAATGTTTGGCCGGGCACGGTGGCTCACGCCTATAATCCCAGCACTTTGGAAGGCCCAGGCGGGCGGATCACCTGAGGTCAGGAGTTTAAGACCAGCCTGACCAACATGGAGAAACCCCATCTCTATTAAAGATACAAAATTAGCCGGGCGTAGTGGCGCATGCCTGTAATCCCAGCTACTCGGGAGGAAGAGGCAGGAGAATCGCTTGAACCCGGTAGTGGGAGGTTGCCGTGAGTCGACATCGCGCCATTGCACTCCAGCCTGGGCAACAAGAGCAAAACTCTGTCTCAAAAAAAAAAAAAAAAAAAAGTTTGCCAACTCTAGTATGAATGAATATAGCCTGAGTCAAATAAAAATGACAAGAAAGGGTGGGAAATTCAGGTGGGGCTGGGAAGGCCACACTAGGGTTGTGGGCCTCAGAAAAGGAGGGGTAGGGAAGGGTGAAGGTGACATCTCAGGAAGGAGGCAGAATGAGCTACAAAGAGGAGAAAAAAAAGTGTTCCAGGCAGAGAAAGCGGCGTGTGCAAAGCCTGGAAATGAAAAAAGAGAACTGCGCAGTGGTTTTGCTTGGCTATGGTGTAAAAAGACACAAGTAGCACAACAGTAGTGAAACAGGTGGCGTGGACTGAACTCTTAACTCGAGGATGGAGGCTGTGCCAATCACATCACACATTTTGAATCAGGACAAGGAATATCGGTCCACCCTAGGGCAGGGCTCTGAGTCTGCAGCCAACCCTGTCATCACCCCGTGTGCCGGGGACAGCCGAGGCTCAGATACCGCGCGCCCATCGTCCCTCCTCCCCCGCTCCTCCCTGCAAGGGACCCGGACAACTCTCGCCTCCGACGCAGGCCTTACTGGAATCCATGGGGTCGCAGACCGGGGAGAAGCCCAGCGGCAGGGGGCTCTTGTCCACCACGATCTGGATATCGGCCACCACGTTCTCCTGGGGGTTCTAGGGGTGGAAGGGGGACACAGCGAGGGTCGCCTAGCAGCGGGGACAGCGCAGCTGGCATAGGGCACAGTGAACAGGCAGGGGAGGTGGGCAGACCCTGGTGGTCCCGAAGGTGGGCACCCCTTACCTCTAGGCTGCCCAGAGAACTAAGGCACAGGAAGTAGCCAGATTTCTGCGCGAAGCTCTTGCCAAAGCTGGCGGGTGCCCCCTCGACGGTGCAGGAGATCTACCGGGAGGACGCGGGTCAGCGCCGGACTCCCACCCCACAGCGGCTGCCTCCCCAATTCGACCCCCGCCCCTCGACGTCGCTCACCGCGCTGAACCCCCGCGGCGGGGGTGCAGAGGCCGACGACCAAGCCAGGCCAGCCAGCGGCGCCGAGTCTGTCCCGGGTACAGGATCCATCCTGCGATCGGAGCGCCGAAGGCGGGGTCGTGGGGGACAGCCTGGAACCTCGGAGCAGCCTCCCGACGGCAGCGCTCGCGGTCGAACTACAACTACCAGAAGGCCATGCGGGGCGCAGATTGCCCGGAAGCGCAGTATACGCGTGCCCGAGGGGCTGCTGGCCAATGGCGTGGGGAGGCGGGGCCACGACCCACGCGTCGCCCGGGTTGCGCGCGTGAGCGACGATTGCGGAAAAAGGTCTTGTCGGCTTTCCTCGCCCAGCAACTTCCGCCGGAAATGCTACGGCACAGGACCAAGAGACTGGTTCTCTGCAAATCTGCACTACGTTCCCCAGAATTCCTTGCGGCCGCAATAGCTAGTCTAGAGAAAAGCTTAGCGCTTAACGCAAAAGTTGGGAGATTTGTGGCCGCGCTGAGTGGCACACGTCTGTAATCCCAGCACTTTGGGAGGCGGAGGCGGGCGGATCATGAGGTCAAGAGATCGAGGCCATCCTTGGACAACGTGGTGAAACCCCGTCTCTACTAAAAATACATTGTGAAAAATCTACAATTCCAGTTCTGGGAAATCATCCCAAAGGAAATCATCGTGAGATATGCAGCTGTTGATTTAAAGAGCGAACACTATGAGCCATCATGAGCCATGAAATCTTGGATATAACTTAAAGAGTTGTTTCACAGGAACAATACCTTTAAAAGGGGAAGTATAAAAAAAGGGAAATATTAAAAAAAGGGAAGTATAAAAGCATTTATTGCCTATAGTCCCAGCTACTGGGGATGCCACCAGCAAACCGAGTTACTTCCTCACTTTGTGTAGGTGGCAAAGAAGGAACATCCGATCGGAAAAGGCAATCAGGTTTTATTCACTGGCCAGGAATGGAGGAGAGGCTCTCGCTCTAACTGCCCCTTCTCCCTCAACAGTAAAAAACATGACGTTTTATTGTTTCTTCCCCTGGGTACAGGAAGGGAGAGGGATGTTAGCGTGTGCAGGGTGGGACTCCAGATCTTCATACAACCGGTCTACACAAAAGGGAGATTTTAAGAGAAGGAATTTTAGTATTATAATTATATATTGATGAATATATATTGATGATCTAAAGTCAACTAGAGGTCGTCTGTTCCAGTTTGTGCCGATTTAGGGATCTTATCTTCCTCTGGTATCTGGTCAGGGGTCAGGAAGCTCTGGTGACATCTCTGGCTGCCTGCCATCTTTAAGCAGCTGTGTGTGTGGTTTTTTTTTTTTTTTTTTTGGACTGAAAAACAATAAGAAAAAGAACTTTCCCAGTTATTTTATCAGGGCTGTCCTGGTAACAGGGTAACAGGGAGGCTGAGGTGGGAGGATCGCTTGAGACCAGGAGTTTGAATCTAGCCTGGACAACACAAGGAGACTCCGTCTCTAAAATGAAAGAAAGGGAAAAAAAGTATTTACTATAATAATATGCTTTTAGGCCAGGTGCAGTGGCTCACACCTGTAATCTCAGCACTTTGGGAGGCCGAAGCGAGCGGATCATCTGAGGTCAGAAGTTTGAGACCAGCCTGACTAACATGGTGAAACCCTGTTTCTACTAAAAATAAAAAAAATTGGCCGGGCGCGGTGGCTCAAGCCTGTAATCCCAGCACTTTGGGAGGCCGAGACGGGCGGATCACGAGGTCAGGAGATCGAGACCATCCTGGCTAACACGGTGAAACCCCGTCTCTACGGGCGGATCACGAGGTCAGGAGATCGAGACCATCCTGGCTAACACATTGAAACCCCGTCTTCACTAAAAAAATACAAAAAAATTAGCCGGGCGTGGTGGCGGCGCCTGTAGTCCCAGCTACTCGGGAGGCTGAGGCAGGAGAATGGCGGGAACCCGGGAGGCGGAGCTTGCAGTGAGCCGAGATCGCGCCACTGCACTCCAGCCTGGGCGACAGAGCGAGACTCCGCCTCAAAAAAAAAAAAAAAAAAAAGAAACCCCGTCTCTACTAAAAAATACAAAAAACTAGCCGGGCGAGGTGGCGGGCGCCTGTAGTCCCAGCTACTCGGGAGGCTGAGGCAGGAGAATGGTCTAAACCCGGGAGGCGGAGCTTGCAGTGAGCTGAGATCCGGCCACTGCACCCCAGCCTGGGCGACAGAGCAAGACTCTGTCTCAAAAAAAAAAAAAAAAAAAAAAAATTATCCGGGCGTGGCAGCGCGCATCTGGAATCCCAGCTACTTGGGAGGCTGAGGCAGGAGAATCACTGGAACCCAGGAGGTGGAGGTTGCAATGAGCCGAGATCGCGCCACTGCCCTCCAGCTTGGGCAACAAGAGCGAAACTCGTCTCAGAAATAATAATAGTAATAATAATATGCTTTTTTACACCCATCAGGGGAAAAGTTTAGAAAAATAGGGAACAAGTGCCCTGTGCTGCCCAGACTAGTGAACGATAGTCAGGATGGCTAATGGTGACCCCAAGAAACCAAAGGGCAAAATGTTTGCTTATGGTTTCTTTGTGCAGATGTGCAGAGAAGAATATAAGAAAAACCGGCCGGGTGCAGTGACTCACGCCTGTAATCCCAGCACTTTGGGAGGCCAAGGCAAGCGGATCACAATGTCAAGAGATCAAGACTATCCTGGCCAACATGGTGAAACCCCGTCTCTACTAAAAATACAAAAATTATCTGAGCATGGTGGCATGCTCCTGTAGTCCCAGCTACTCGGGAGGCTGAGGCAGGAGAATTGCTTGAACCTGGGAGGAGGATGTTGCAGTGGCCGAGATTGTGCCACTGCACTCCAGCCTAGGCGACAGAGTGAGACTCCATCTCAAAAAAAAAAAAAAAAAAGAAGAAGAAGAAGAAGGAGAAGGAGGAGAAGGAGAAACCCAGAGGTCCCCGTCAATTTCGCAGAATTTTCCAAGAAGTGGCCGGGCGCAGTGGCTCACGCCTGTAATCTCAGCACTTTGGGAGGCTGAGGCAGATGGATCACCTGAGGTCGGGAGCTTGAGACCAGCCTGACCAACATGGAGAAACCCCGTCTCTACTAAAAATACAAAAATTAGCCCAGCATGGTGGCACATGCCTGTAATCCCAGCTACTTGGGAGGCTGAGGCAGGAGAATCACTGGAACCCGGGAGGTGGAGGTTGCAATGAGCCGAGATCGCACCATTGCACTCCAGCCTGGGCAACAAGAGTGAAACGTCATCTCAAAAAAATAAAAATAAAAATAAAGAATTTTCCAAGAAGTACTCTGAGAGTTGGAAGACAATGTTGGTGAAAGAGAAGTCCAAATTTGATGAAATGGCAAAGGCGGATAAAGTACGCTAGGATCGGGAAATGAAGGATTATAGACCAGCTAAAGAGGAGGCAAGAAGAAAGAGCCTAATGTCCCCAAAAGGCCACCGTCTGGCCTTTTATTTTATTTTATTTTATTTTTTTGAGATGGAGTTTTGTTCTTGTTGCCCAGGCTGGAGTGCAGTGGTGCGATCTCAGCTCACTGCAACTTCCATCTCCCAGGTTCAAGCGATTCTCCTGCCTCAGCCTCCGGATTAGTTGGGATTACAGTCATGTGCCACCATGTCTGGCTAATTTTTTTATTTTTAGTAGAGATGGGGTTTCACCGTGTTGGCCAAGTGCGGCCTCAAACTCCTGACCTCAGGTGACCCACCTGCCTTGGCTTCCCAAAGTGCTGGGATTACAGACATGAGCCATCACACCCAGCCCACCATCTGGATTCTTCATGTTCTGTTCAGAATTCCACCCCAAGATCAAATCCACAAACCCTGGCATCTCTATTGGAGATGTGGCAAAAAAAAAAAAAAAAAAAAAAGAGATGTGGAATAGCTGAAGTGACAGTGAAAAGCAGCCTGACGTCACCAACGCAGCAAAGCTGAAGGAGAAATATGAGAAGGAGGCTGCTGACTATAAGTTGAAAGGAAACTTTGACAGCACAAAGGGTCCTGCTAAAGTTGCCCGGAAAAAAGTGGAAGAGGAAGATAAAGAAAGAAGAGGAGGAGGACAATGGATGATAAAAACTGTTTCTATGCCAGGAGTGATGGCTCATTCCTGTAATCCCAGCACTTTGGGAGGCCAAGGCAAGTGGAGGTCAGGAGTTCACAACCAGCCTGGCCAACATGGTGAAACCCCATCTCTACTAAAAATACAAAACATTAGTGTAGCGGGGGGGTGGGGGGAGTGCACGCCCATCGTCTCAGCTACTCCAGACACTGAGGCAGGAGAATCACTTGAACCCAGGAGGCGGAGGTTGCAGTGAGCCGGGATCACGCCAGTGCACTCCAGCCCGGGTGACAGAGCGAGACTCTGTCTAAAGAAACAAAGAACAAAAAAAAAAAAAGGTGGTTGAGGCCAGGCACAGTGGCTCACACCTGTTACCCCAGCACTTTGGGAGGCCGAGGTGGACGGATCACTTGAGGTCAGGAGTTGGAGACCAGCCTGGCCCACATGGTGAAACCCCGTCTCTACTAAAAATACAAAAAAATTAGCCAGGCGTGATGGCAGGTACCTGTAATCCCAGCTACTCCGGAGGCTGAGACAGAAGAATCACTTGGGCCTCAGAGGTGGAGGTTTCAGTGAGCAGAAATGGTGCCTCTAAGCTCCAGCCTGGGTGACAGAATGAGACTCTGTCTCAAGGAAGAAAAAAAAAAAGTAGGTTGGGCACGGTGGCTCAAGCCTGTAATCCCAGCACTTTGGGAGGCCAAGGTGGGTGGATCATGAGGTCAGGAGTTCAAGACCAGCCTAATCAACATGGTGAAACCCTGTCTCTACTAAAAATACAAAAATTAGCCAGGTGTGGTGGCATTCACGTGTAATCCCAGATACTCAGGAGGTTGAGGCAGGAGAATTGCTTGAACCCAGAGGCAGAGGTTGCATTGAGCCCAGATCACACCACTGCACTCCAGCCTGGGCGACAGAGCAAGACTCTGTCTCAAAAAAAAAAAAAAGTGGTTGAGGTTTTGGCAAGGCCTATTATTTAAACCACAGCCTAAATGTCTTACAAAGTTAGCTTGGCCCAATAGCCCAGGAATAATTAAGGGAAAAGTAAGGTGGGGTTTGGGTTAACTTAGCTTACTGTTCTAATGTTCTCACTGATATAATTTTTGCAGTGGTGGTTTCATCAGTTGGGTGCAGGAAGATTGTGAGGGTTTGTTTGTTTTGTTTTTGTTTTTTGAAACGGAGTTTCACTCTTGTTGCCCAGGCTGGAGTGCAATGGTGTGATCTCAGCTCACTGCAACCTCTGCCTCCCAGGGTCAAAGGATTCTCCTGTCTCAGCCTCCGCTGGGATTACAGGCTCGCACCACCATGCCCAGTTAATTTTTGTATTTTTAATACAGACAGAGTTTTGCTAGGTCACCCAGGCTAGTCTCAAACTCCTGGGCTCAAGCAATTTGCCAGCCTCTGCCTCCCAAAGTGCTGGGATTACAAGGGTGAACCACCCCACTGATCAAGGGGAACATATTAATACTTTGTTTCTCTGTTTTGAGACGGAGTCTCACTCTCTTGCCCAGGCTGGAGTGCAGTGGCATGATCTCAGCTCATTGCAGCCTCTGCCTCTGAGGTTCAAGCCATTCTCCTGCCTCAGCCTCCCGAGTAGCTGGGATCATAGGCACGCACCACCACACCCGGCTCATTTTTGTATTTTGAGTAGAGACGGGGTTTTACTATGTTGGCCAGGCTGGTCTTGAACTCCTGACCTCAAGTGATCCACCTGCCTCGGCCTCCCATAGTGCCAGGATTACAGGCATGAGCCACTGAGCCCAGCCAGAAACATATTAATACTATGAACAACACTCAGCCCTGGGCTGGTTAAGAGGCTGGAGACCGAAAGGTGGTGTTAGATTGACCATGGACCCGGTGAAATACCTGCAGTGGGTTAAGGACACTCTTGTGTGTCTTACAAAACAAAGACACAGATGCTGCCTAAGAACCAGGTCCTCCTGGACCCGGCGCCAGGGAAGGATCTGAAAGGAAAAGAAGAATGCCTGTGATCGGTGTGAGAGAGGAGTGCCACTCACCGTTCACTGCAGCGATAGGGGACAGGTGAATTCTGAATTCTTTTTTTTTCTTTTTGAGACAGAGTCTGTTGTGACCAACCGAGTTATAGAGAAACACCGCACTTTGAGACAAATTAAAGAGTCCTTTATGAGCCTGCGACCGAGAGGCAGCTAACGCCCAAAATTCTCTCGGCCCTGAGGAAGGGGCTAGTTTTGTTTTTATACTGTGGTCTAAATAGGGGAGGGGGATTTTAGCTGAAGCAATTTTTACAGACGCAGAACTGGCAAAAAGTTAAAAAATGAATTGGTTACAAATGCAGTTACGAAAAATAAACAGTTCCAGGTGCAGGGGCTTAAACTATCACAAAGAGATAAATGTAGGGGCTTTGGGTGCCATCCGCCGAGCACGTCCCCAGGAGCTGCTGTGCAGCTCGCCTCAATATCTCATCAGCAGGTGCATTACTGGACGTGCTTTGAGTCAGTTTTACTGACTATGCCTGGAGGGAGGTGAAAGGGTTACAAGTGAAGAAACTAAAATGGAGTCTGTCCGGCTCTCTGCTAGGAGAGAGTCACTCAGGTTAAAACAAAGTAGGGTATCACAAGTCTTGGCTCTGTCATCCAGGCTGGAGTGCAATGGCGCAATCTCAGCTCACTGCAACCTCCGCCTCCCGGGTTCAAGCAATTCTGCTGCCTCAGCCTCCCAAGTAGCTGGGATTACAGGTGCCCGCCAGAAAGTCCATCTAGTTTCTATTTTTAGTAGAGACAGGGTTTCACTATTTTGGCCAGGCTGGTCTCGAACCCCCCACCTCCGATGATCCACCCGCCTTGGCCTCCCAAAGTGCTGGGATTACAGGTGTGAGCCACCACTCCTGGCCAAATTCTGAATTCTTTAGGGGAAGGGAGAGCCTGGGACATAGGCATCCCCTTGGACCCAGTAACCCCGCTTCTGGGAGTTCAGTTTAAGGAAAGCCTGCAGTCAAGTCTGAAACTTACCGAATGACAAGGGCAAACTCAGACCGGGAACTGTAATGTACAAAGTGCTAAGCCAAGCACTTTCTATATATTGCTTTTTCCTGTCAAAGAAAATAAAAATATGAGGATCTTCCAAAGGCAATTTGCCAAAGGAAAAGTTGTTGTTGTTGTTGTTTGTATTGGTTTGTTTTTGAGACATGGTCTCATTCTGTTGTCCAGGCTGGTGTGCAGTCATGGAAACATGGCTCACTGCATCCTCGACCTCTTGGGCTCAAGGGACTCTCCTACCCCTTGGGCTCAAGGGATCCTCCTACTCAGCCTCCTGAGTGGCAGATGACCTGAGGTCGGGAGTTGGAGACCAGCCTGGCCAACATGGTGAAACCCGGTCTCTACTAAAAATACAATTAGCTAGGCGTGGTGTCAGGTGCCTGTAATCCCAGCTACTCAGGAGGCTGAGGCAGGAGCATTGCTTGAATGCGGAGGCTGCAGTGAGCCGAGATCACACCACTGCGCTCCAGCCACGACAGGCGCAGCCACAACAGGCGCAGCCACTATATCCAGCTAATGTTTAAATGTTTTGTTGAGGTGGGGGGTGGGGGTGGGGGTGGGGGGAAACTCACTTTGTTGCTCACGCTAGTCTTAAACTTCTGGGCTCGAGTGATCCTCCTGCCTCGGCCTCCCAAAGTGTTGGGATTACAGGCAAGTGCCACCGCGTCTGTAGCAAAGGGAAAGTTAGGTCTGGAGACTGAGCCACACAGTACTGAAATTCATTTCCCAAATGCATGGCTGTTGCTTCCTGATTGTCTTAAGTGGTTAAGCATTGTACATTACCCAGATGCCTACAAAAAGGAAAAAAAAATAAAAGCCCTCACACATCTCCAGATGATCGCCCTCACAAATTGTTCATATGTAAATTATTTGCTTACCCCTAAATCTTTCCAAGATGTCCAGCCTCCATAAACAAAGATAGGTAACCTTAGGTTTGCAAGCTCTATCTGACCCCTTGTCCAGGCTGTTGAATTTCATCCTGACAGCACTGATTACAAGCTTACTTTCCCCGGTGCAAAACAAAGACAGGGTGACATCCATCAGCCCTCCACCAGACCCTGAGACAGCTGCAAAATTAATCTTTCCTTTACTCCTTCTTCAAATGTTTGCCTTATCTTAGGTATAACCATAGTTTCAGTTTCCCTGGCACTAATTAAATTCAGAAGAATGTAACTGATGAGAAATGTCATCACCTACTTTCTTTTTACTGTTTTCTTTCAGTTGATGGAGATACTGTTTCAGTTTTTAATTTGTGTGGACATTCCAGTCGACTGGGAAGCAGCTGTTATCACACCCCTGCTTTTAAGAAAGTAGAGGTTGGCTAGGGGCAGTGGCTCACACCTGTAATCCCAGCACTTTGGGAGGCCGAGGCGGGTGGATCACTTGAGGCCAGGAGTTTGAGACCAGCCTGGCTGACATGGTGAAACTCCGTCTCTACTAAAAATACAAAAATTAGCTGGGCATGGTAGCGCACACCTTTGATCCCACCTACTCGGGAGGCTGAGGCAGGACAATCACTTGAACCTGAGAGGCGGAGGTTGCAGTGAGCCACGATTGCACCACTGCACTCCAGCCTGGGCAACAGAGTGAGACTCCATCTCAAAAAAGAGAGAGAGAGAGAGAGAGAGAGAAAAGCAGAGGCCTGAGGGAAAGGAGCTGATCCACCATGATGGAATTTGAGCCCAAGTCTGACTCCAAACCTGCACTCAGGTTCCCCCAGGGCAGGGCTTGTCACGTTTGGTGGCACCTCTGACACTTGGGGCTTGATCATTTACTGTGGGGAGCCATCCTGTACCCTGTAGTGTGTTGAGCAGCATCCCTGGCCTACATCCCTAGATGGCAGGGGCACTCCCAGCCCCCACGGTGACAATAAAAATGTCCCCTGGAACAGAATCGCCCCCGCCCAGTGAGCGCCCCAGGGCCAGCGACTTCCCACAGGCATGGAGTTGTCCTCAGATGCCCACCCAGGGCCACATCTCAGTATCCCAAAGTAAGTGAAATATACATGTAGTGTAATAAACAGAAATGAAACAGCTAAGGGACAATTGTGGATGATCTTTGCTCCTTAATTTTTTTTTTTTCTTAGCCAGGTGCAGTGGTTCACACCTATAATCCCACCACCTTGGGAGGCTGAGGAAGGAGGATCACATGAGCCCAGGAGTTTAAGACCAGCCTGGGCAACATACGGAGATCCTGTCTCTACAAACAATATAACTGGGCGTGATGGTGGTGAGTGGCTGTAGTCCCAGCTACTCAGGAGGCTGAGGCAGGAGGATCGCTTTGAGACAAGCCTGGTCAACATAGTGAAACCCCATCTCCACAAAAAATAAAAAATTAGCCAGGTGTAGGACTGCACATCTGTGGTCCCAGCTACTCGGGAGGCTGAGGTGGGAGGATCACTCGAGCCCAGGAAGTTAAGGCTGCAGTGAGCTATGATCACACCACTGCACTCCAGCCTGGACAACAGAGCAAGAGCCTGTCTTTAATAAATAAATAAAAGAGGGGAAATGGAGTGTAGGGAATGTGGGAAATTCTTTCTATTATCCTCCCTGTTTTTTTTTTTTTTTTTTTCCCCTGCAAATCTAAAACTATTCTAGAATAAAATGTTGGCCGGGCATGGTGGCTCATGCCTTTAATCCCAGCACTTTGGGAGGCCGAGGTGGGCAGATCACGAGGTCAGGAGATCAAGACCATCCTGGCCACATGGTGAAACCCCATCTCTGCTAAAATACCAAAATTAGCTGGGCGTGGTGGCACATGCCTGTAATCCCAGCTACTTGGGAGGCTGAAGCAGGAGAATCGCTTGAACCAGGGAGTTGGAGATTGCAGTGAGCGGAGAGCATGACATTGCACTCCATCCTGGGTGACACAGTGAGACTCTGTCTCAAAAAATTAATTAATTAATTAATTAAAATAAAATGTTTCTTTTTTTCTTTCCTCTTTTTTTTTTTTTTTTTTTTTTTTTGAGAGAGTCTCACTCTGTCGCCCAGGCTAAAGTATAGTGGCACAAACTCAGCTCACTGCAACCTCTGCCTCTGGGTTCAAGCGATTCTTCTGCCTCAGCCTCCCGAGTAGCTGGGATTACAGGCACCCACCACCACACCTGGCTAGTTTTTGTATTTTTAGTAGAAACAAGGTTTCACCATGTTGGCCAGGCTGGTCTCGAACTCCTGACATCAGGTGATCCACTCGCCTCAGACTCCAAAGTGCTGGGATTACTGGCATGAACCACCACACCCAACTGAAATGTTTCTCTAAATAATAATAATAATAATAACAACATAATAATAAATAAAAATAAAAAATAAATTTTTTTAAAAGCTAAAACCAAAAGAATGCCAGGGGCGGGTGCAGTGGCTTACTCCTATAATTCCAACGCTTTGGGGGCCTGAGGCAGGAGGATCTTTGGAGCCCAGGAGTTTGAGACCAGCCTGGGAAACTTAGTGAGACCCCCATCTCTACAAAAAATAAAAAATTAGCTGGGTGTGGTGGTGCACACCTGTAGTCCCAGCTACACCGGAGGCTGCGGTGAGAGGATTGCTTGAGCCCAGGAGGTCAAGGCTGCAGTAAGCTGTGATTGCAGCACTACACTCCAGCCTGGGCAACAGGACAAGATTCTATCTGAAAGGAAAGGAAGGTGAGGGGAGGGGAGGGAAAGGGAGGGAAAGGGAAAGGGAAAGGGAAAAGGAAAGGAAAGGGAAATAGCATAACAATTTCCATTTCTAATTTTATTGCAAAAGTAATTGTGGTTTCTGCCATTACTTTTAGTTAACATAATTAATGTAATGAAAGCCATTAAAAGTCATGGCAGGCCGGGCATGGTGGCTCATGCCTATTATCCCAGTACTTTGAGAAGCTGAGGTGGGCGGATCACGAGGTCAAGAGTTCGAGACCAGCCTAGCTAACACGGTGAAACTCCGTCTCTACAGAAAATACAAAAATTAGCTGGGCGTGGTTGCGGGTGCCTGTAATCCCAGCTACTCAGGAGACTGAGGCAGCAGGATTGCTTGACCCCAGGAGGCGGAGGTCAGAGGTTGCCGTGAGACGAGATCATGCCAATGCACACCAGCCTGTGCGACAGAGTGAGACTCCATCTCAAAGAGGAAAAAAAAAAAAGGGGGCTGGGCACGGTGGCTCAATCCTGTAATCCCACCAACTTGGGAGGCCGAGGCGGGCGGATCACCTGAGGTCAGGAGTTTGAGACCAGCCCGACCAACATGGAGAAACCTAAACCTCTCTACTAAAAATACAAAATTAGCTGGACATGGTGGCGCATGCCTGTAATCCCAGCTACTCAGGAGGCTGAGGCAGGAGAATTGCTTGAACCCAAGAGGCGGAGGTCACGGTGAGCCAAGATTAAATAAAATAAATATGTATGTACTAAATATATATATGTATTTTTAAGTCGAGATAGGGTCTTGCTATGTTGACCAGGCTGGTCTCGAACTCCTGACCTCAAGCAATCCTCCCATCTCGGCCTCCGAAAGTACTAGGATTGCAGGCATGAGCCACTGCACCCGTCCCATCATTTGTAATTTTAAAGGGAAGAGCAACAAACTTTTAGTTTGCAGGGCTAGGACTGTTTGCAGCTGCAAAATTTAGAGAGGACATCAATCTTTCATTATCCACATTTTACAGCTGGGGAAATCAATGCTAAGAGAGGAAATTCATTTGCCCAGGGGCGCACCACCCCAGTCTCCAATGTGCAATTCATACAATTGTGATTTCTGACCTGGTCCCAAACTGACCCTAAAGTTTGCAGGCCAGAACACTGCTGCTCAAATAAGTCAGCTTAGTCAAATAAGTCAGGCAAAGGTCGTGTCTTTTCACCTGGAGTCCTGGCCAGGCTGATAGGTCCCTCCTCCTGGGACGAGTTCACCCTCAGACTTTTCAGCAAGATCATCTCCCACAGCTTGTGAATTGGTTCTTGGTTCTAAGTGTTTTTTTGTTTTTTGGTTTGTTTGTTTAAGAGATGGGGTCCCACTTTATCACCCAGGCTTGAGTGCAGTGGCACAATCATAGCTTGCTGCAGCCTCAAACTCCTGGGCTCAAGTGATCCTCCTGCCTCAGCCTCCCGAGTAGCTGGGACCACACGCACATACCATGATGCCTGGCTCTAAGTGGCTTTAATGGGGTCCTTCTGAGGGATGTTGGAGTGAGGGCCTGGGGGGAGTTCCCCAGGCCTTCTGGGAGGCCTGGGCTCTGGCCTTGACCTCGCCTGCTGTCTGGTCCTGCTGAAAACAGAAAAACAAGGAAATGGCAGACCTGACAGAATCTGGGCTGTGGTCAGGATGTGGCTGAAGAAGCCACAAGAAAAACACTCAGTCCCCTTTCAGCCGTCATACCCAGCAGTTGGGCGCTGATAACGGGGCTGATTTCCTGTAGGAAGCCCTGGCTCTCTTGGCCACATGGACAGCAGGTCGGTGCAGCCTGAGTGCTCCCCCAACCCCGGTGTCCAACAACCCCAGCACCCGCCCCATCCCAGGCGTCTTCCAGGGATGTCTCCCAGGACCGTGGGGTTTAGCACATCCCAAATGGAGCCAACTATCTTTCCTCAAAGAAAAATCCCCACTAGGCCAGGCACGGTGGCTCACGCCTGTAATCCCAGCACTTTGGGAGGCAGAGGCAGGCAGATCACTTGAGCTCAGGAGTTCGAGACTAGCCTGGTTAACATGATGAAACCCCGTCTCTACTAAAAGCACAAAAAAACTAGCCAGGTGTGGCCAGGCGTGGTGGCTCATGCCTGTAATCCCAGCACTTTGGGAGGCCGAGGCGAGTGGATCATCTGAGGTCAGGAGTTCGAGACCAGCCTGTCCAACATGGAGAAACCTAAACCTCTCTACTAAAAATACAAAATTAGCTGGGCATGGTGGCACATGCCTGTAATTCCAGCTATTCAGGAAGGCTGAAGCAGGAGAATCGCTTGAACCCGGGAGGCAGAAGTTGCGGTGAGCCAAGATCGAGCCACTGCACTGACCAACAAGAGCAAAACTCAGTCTCAAAAAAAAAAAAAAAAAAAAAAAAAAAATTAGCCAGGCCGGACCACACCTGTAGTCCCAGCTACTGGCAAGGCTGAGGTGGGCAAATCAGTTGAATCTGGGAGGTAGAGGCTGCAGTAAGCCGAGATCGCGCCACTGCACTCTGCACTCCAGCCTGGGCGACAGAGGAAGACTCTGTCTCAAAAAAAAAAAAAAAAAAAAAGAAAGAAAGAAAAAGAAAAGAAAAGAAAAGAAAGAGCCTCGCTATATGTCCATGTTCAAGCATTATCTTCCCATCCATCTGCCCTGAGCCACAGGCCTGGCAGGTGGCATGCGCATCCATTGAGCACCTACTGGATACCAAAGCACTTACTTT